TTGCGTTTTTTGGTTTTATTTTATGTTTCTTATTTTATGTTTCTTTGTACAATGGTATTATGTTGCGTAAGGCATTAGCCGATGAGCGTACGGCGTGCGAGATAAAGCGAGTGTGAAAAGTGTAAGTACAAGAAAAGATGTAAAAATAAGGCTGTGTGTAAGTTATAGAAATTGTAACCCTACGGGGCAATAAACTTATCTATCTCTCTATCATTACCTGTACTTAGGAGAAGTCCATCACCCAGCCAAGGTTGTAAGACATCATAAAACATTTCTTTATCCATATGCTTGCTACTTAATATTGTCTAAAATTATAAGAAATTTGAAGTTAAATATTATTTAACTCACACTATACCCAACGTAGATGAATCAAGTAATTGTTTTCGGAAATATTTTAAATATTCAATCTTTATTTTTACAAATAAATATATTTTTGCTTTGTATAAAAGAAAACAATAAATACACTAAGATATCAATAATTAAAAGAAAAGAAAATTTCGTTCATATTTCGTTACCTCAAAATCATCCGGGTGACTGATATTTACAATGGGTAGAAAGACTGCCCAAAATTTAAAAATGGGGTAATACTGGTTACTAAGGGTAACAAAAGTTTTCCATTGTTCCGCTAAAAAATGTATGTGTATAATTATGTAAACTTACCAAAACATTATAAACATTGATCGAAAAAAATTTGATTAATTTTATTATATTTAATCATTTGTGTCACAAATTTTTATATCAGATCAATTTTTTTTAAACTTTGTACATGGAGATTTTTTGGATCGCTGATTATGAATCAGGAGACAGAATTTTAAAAAAGTGTAAATAGAAAAGGTTAGTAAGCCTTGCACGGAATTTAGGGCTAGTAATAATGTAATATATTTAACATAACATTAATTTACAAACCCAAACATTTCAGCTCCGCATTGAGCCGTCTTCAGTGGGCGAATACAAAAATCTTTAAAAAAGTCGTCAATTAATTACATTAAAGAGCGTTTGCTATAATATAATTCGGTAATGATCTTGCGCATAAATTTTGTCCATGTATCCCATTGTTAAATATATTACATTACAAATATATTACTGGCACTAAATTCCGTGCAAGATTCACTAGCGCTTTTTATTGATACTTTGTTAATTTTTTATTATATGAGCCATATTGAGATTTAGAATTTTAAAATTCAAAATGGCTAATCCAATAAATCAAATAATTACCAGTTCCATCATTTTAAATTTAATTCGGAAATTTTGATCTTAGATTACGCTTTTGGGATCCTAAGGAATCCC